GCCCATCCTTGGTTATCATATTCCAGTCTACAGTTCCTAATTCATATAACATATTTAATTTCTTATGTTGTCTTACATCTCTAAAATAGGAATTTTTTCTTTCTGCTTTAATTACATCTCGGGGATAGGTTATTACCATATCATGATCAGATTTTACTAAGCTTTTCACTGCTTTAACTTTTTTCCAATCGTGAGGAGCGTTCGTAATGAAGACATCAAGTATATTTTGACCCTTTGTGGGAACTTTAACAAGTTGGATGAGCGACAGTTGATTGAGCAGATTTCGAATATTTAATTTATTGATATCACCCGCAATAATTATTCTGGAGTTTGGTTTAACAGACAGTATTTGTTCGCATGTGTCTATCAAGTATTCAATTAGGTCATTCTCATTATAATCGTGATCAGGAGGGTGGTATATAGTTCCAACATAGACATTCGAGTTTTGTGTGTCAATTTTAGTCCATAAACATTCAAACAGATTGTCCGAGTTTGGCATTATCTGCATTTTCCAATCATTTCTACAAATAGTCGCCACACCGCCCCCTCGACAGTTTGTTCTGTCTTTTCTTATGATAGAAAAGCCAGCGGGACAGACAAGATGATCAGGTATAATTGGTTTCAGCCATGTTTCAGAGATACAGCATCATGTCAATGTCATTACACTTCAGATCCGCATACAAAGCGGGAAGGGCATCAGGTTTTACTAGGGATCTAGCGTTTAACACTAGACAACGCGGAATTATACGTGGTAAATTTAAAGCTGTTTTATCGATTTGTACAAATTTCAGAACACGATCACGCTGATGAGGTATCATACGAGCATGTTTTTTTCGTCTTGTAATTCTCACAGGAATTTTATTACTACGACACGCTGACTGAGACATACAATTGGAACCATTTAAGTTCGTGTTAGCCGCATTAATTATGTTCTCGTAATTTTGCTGACTAGGTCTAGGTAATTCTCCCAGTCCGGAGGTCGATCTAGAGACAGTTTCTTCCGAAAATTCCGCTTCGGTTTAGTTTGTTTACTTTTGAAGTTTTTGCGACTATGGACTGTATTCCTTGATAAATGTTGGTTTCTCTTGTTTGTATTGAAAGTATTTAATTCTGTTGTTTGGGGGTTTGTAGGGACAGGTTTCATCCAATTGTGTGATCTATTGGGAAACGCAAGAGACTGTTTCTCTCGGTATTTCTTTAGCTGTTTCTTGAACGATGAGGATGTATTCAGCGAACTATCCGTCCGGTCAATGGCTATGTTAACCCCATCAGCTACAGTGAAATTTTCAAAGCCTGACAGAAAGTCGTTTGACTGACTCCCAAGGGTGTTATCAATACAGTGAGCCTCTGGTGTTATGCTGGCTTCATCAATTGTAGTGAAATTTTTAATGCATAACGGAAGGTCATCTGGCTGATCGTCCGAATTAAATACGCCAGAGAAACTTGAGCTCCCAAGGGGATTATCAATGTTATGGACTATTGATGTTATGCATGTTATTTCATCAATTATATTTGCATAATCGATTGTCTCAAAGATTTATTCATCGCCTCACTTGACTTAAGTCTATTTTCAAGAGAGACAATGGTGTTATTTAATTCGTTTACTTCTCTTTTTCTTCCTCGGATTAAAATTGATATATCAGCTTCAAGGTTTTTACATTTTTCCCTTTCATTAGATAGTTCCTTTTGAAGTTGGTTAATTTCTTCGCTCTCCCGCGACTTTTCGATTGCAAAAATCTTAGACTCTATATTTCTTTGCATGATCACCATATCAAGCTTAACCTCTTCAAGGTCTGCTGCCAGCAGCCTACATTGACAACCGTGCTCGAAATCATGCACTACATTACAAGGAAATGAATTTGATCTGACCTTAAGCTTTTCTGAATGTACATCACTCTTGAAAGACTGATTAGGTATTTCTGTAGTCATATCGACAATCGAATCAGCAGTAACCGCGTTAGTATTGTTGTTATGCCTTTGCTCTATGACACTACTTATTGTCGGCATACAAATATTATCCGATAATTCGCCATCCTCAACTGCATTCGGTTTCACCGTGAACTCATTTGATGTAGTTCGTGCCCCACACACTGTAATCAACGTATTTGCTAGAGCCAAACTTGCATCGCCGTGAAGCACAAGTGTATTTTGTTTTCTGGCATACCAAGTAATGGTTAAGTCCGAATTGAGGCACGTAAACTTTTTTGCATTACCACCCGGCGACGACCAATTGCCATGTAATTTAAGACCACATTCAACGAAACTTTGCAGCATGTCAAAGCTTCCAGACCACTTTATACGCTTTCTATCATACGTTAGGTTTGAGCAATCTTTATGATTGTATATTTGCTCAAACTTCCATTCATTTAGATTATTTTTATAACAATTTACAGAGCTCAGATTAGTACGACCAAATAGTTCATTTTCTATGGTGCTATAATGGTCCACGGGAAGGATGGGAGTTTCTGGTTATGTTGGTTGCAATCACTGACATATATTATTCAATGTTTATATTGTTAGCGTTGTGGCCGTGGTTAATGATTTCAAGTTGGGAAAATATCGATATCGGTATCGATATCGGAAAAAAACGGCAAATATCGAGCAAATATCGTATCGAATGAAAAAGCTGGTATCGCCCATCCCTAAGTGTGGGGCAGTTAAACAATGGGAAATGACCAGCCTGCTTTGCGCGCACTGTTTGCCTGCCAATCGGGCATTTCAGAACCGGAAATCGGGCTGGAGCACGCGTTAATTCTTTTGATTTGGCACGATAAATGGGTGAAATGGCAAAATTCGCACGGTGCCCGGTTTGCAAAAAACAACTGCAAACTGCTCTAATTCTTTCCGTCACTTTCATTTGATCTCATCCGTGAGTCGGCCTCAACGCCTTTGATTTTATAAATAGTTTTAACCTCGTAACTATCCCGTTTAAAAGATTTTAACATTTATCGAAATGAGAGTAATAATAATAAAATATCTGTCAATGAATTAATTTACTGCATCACTATGAAGTAACCAATCACCTCCTTCAGCTATGAATTTCAAGAACTTGGTTTACTTCACTTGGTTCACGGTATGCATAGAGAAATAGCACATTGGCTAATGACCGGGGGCCGGTTGTTCAAAAGTCGATTAGCTTAACCCTAGGTTAACTTAAAATTCAAAGCAAACTTCCTCACAGCTTGTTTTTAAATTTGGAAATGTTTCTTCAGAAATTTGGTCTGGATCGATAGGAGTTTTGAAAGTCTGACGTTTTGCAATAAACAGATGTGCAGAAATACAAACTAGGGATCCAAGGATAGTGTAAAGTTTCAAATTGAATAAGATCGGGAAGAACTGCGTAGGGTCTAGCGGGTTAATAGGTTTGCTCAACAATTAGGCCAAACAACGTCACATTAGGCCTTTGTTTTTTTTTGTCTTAGCGTGTTTTGCTTTTTTGTTGTTTTTTTTATCTGTTTTCAATAACGGCACTAATACGATTTGGCCTAATTCTTCATCTAACATACCAACCCTGCACGTTACTAAAAAATGTGGATTAGAACAAGGTTTTTACGAGAGAAACAATTCATTGTCACTTCCTTCGCCGTGCTTCGTGGAACTGGTACAATTTACAATTTATTTATTTATTGTGATGCTACACGAAACAACTCGAAATTTAAATTCTTTCACCAACAACCAAATTTTGTATATTCTAAACCTACAATTGCATTGGGAGCTGTCGCTGAAAGTATCCCCATGAGGCTACTGATATACTAAACTTATTTAAAACTATCAGCGCCTATATTGCACATTTAACTATTGTCTCAGTGACACAATTGAAATAGCTGTATAACTACAGTGTGTCCCAAAAAAGTACCTTCTATAGAAAGTATCTATCCTATTGTTATATGGGTACTTTTTTGGGGACACACTGTAGTTAATATGACGTTGCATCCCATTACAAAAAACATAAATCCAAAACACAGACACATAAAAATGAGGCGAGAAAATTCATTTAAATGACGCATTTTATCCCCATATCCGTTCCGCACCCGCTCCATGGATCCGCTAGGTTCCGCATCCGCTTCCGCATTTTAACTTAATTGTGACATGTTTCTCAATAACAAGTCTCAATGACCTTTGACTTT